TTGGGAGGAGTTGCAATTGGTCTGAGGGAGAGAACACGTCTATGCTTCAATACATCATTTCTTTTCGTCTATTACCAAAACAATACGGAAATAGTTACACTGACAGTTTCCATTTCATGAAAACAGCTCCTTCACATGGGTGGGCATGATTTTTATGTTGCCAAACCTTGGCTTCCCTGGTTTACCTTACCCAGAGTATCATTTGAAATGCTGTAATAAGGTAAATTCGTAGAAACTCTTCTAGATTCTTTCGAGTTTACATAGGTAGTATAAATATTTTAAAAGCCACTTTATTGTCATTTACCAATATGCTGCTGCTTCTTTTTTTTTTCTAAATTTTTTTTTGAATGTTTATTTTTGAGAGAGAGAGAGAGAGAGAGAGAGAGACAGAGCGTGAGCAGGGGAGGGGCAGAGAGAGAGGGAGACAGAGAATTTGAAACAGGCTCCAGGCTCTGAGCTGTCAGCACAGAGCTGATGCGGGGCTCGAACCCATGAATGGTGAGATCATGACCTGAGCTGAAGTCAGATGCTTAACCGACTGAGCCACCCAGGCGCCCCTCTTTTGTGTTTCTTACAAACATGTAAGGAATGACACACATACCAGAAGGATCTATATGTACTGCATTCAGGGACAATAATTTTCATCTTCAATTCATCCAGGGCAAATGTCCAGAGAAACGCAAATTTTTGCTAGTTTTTGTTAATGCTATGGCAGTATTTCAACCATAGGATCATCTGGAAGTTTTATCACCACAGAAAGTGATGAACATGTCATTATTCAAAGCTCCATTGTTTAATACCTTCTTAGAGGCAGAAACTATACCAACTTTCAATATCTATCAAAGCAGATCATACATGAATGCATGGGGGTTCAAAGCACTTGGACACTTTTTCTCCCCATTGTATCAGTGTCTATTAGAATCTGGATTTGGGGAGTGCTTGGTTTGGCTTGGAACAGCAACTGGGAATCTCAAGATTTGTCTGGAAGGCAGGAAGAAGAATCGGTGGCAGCCAAAGAACATCAGTCTGGAATTGTTTGTTTTTTCAACACTAGTTCCCTAGTGTGGATGTATCCAAGTTTCTCAAAACAGGAGCTATAAGCACCCCACGGTTGTGGCCATCAGCCGGGGGCCCCGTTCCCTGCTCATCTCTTCCTTTGCCATTTCTCTTTCTCGAAGCAGTTCTCTTACTTGGAGAACCTCTGCTTGCCCACAGGCCCAGCCCAGACCTCTTCTTTGAGGCCTGTCATTTGAGGAGTTTATTTTAGTTCACGGGCGATGTGAGTTCAGGGCAGCTGGCTTGCAGTTTAGAATCCCAGCTGTGTACTGAAGGCCAAAACCATTAAATCAAATATACAAGAAAGTTTCGGTGCTGTCCTGAACTTCTAGGATCTGCCTTCTTATATGATTGTCCCTCTTCAGTGATTTCAAAACAAATGAGCACAGAGGGAACCTGAAGAGACAAACGGGCACAGTGAGCAGACCTGTTGTGCAACTACTTGTGAATTCGTTTTCGCATTCTTTATTCCCTATTGTTAAAAACAAGACAACAGGCCTCAAATACAGTCACTAATGCTAAGTCCCATAGCAACAAACCGAGGCTCGACCTAATTACTATTTCAGCTCTCCCAGAAATAGAATCTTAAACCAGTCAATGTGGAATCTTCTGATCAGCATTAGTGAGGTAACCCGCCTGACAGACCCCAGCCAGGCCCTAAAGGAAAGTAACCTTGCAATAAACAATTCACTTTTGTTTAGTACAATTTCCTTGTTGCACTCCTTTCTGCCCACACTGGTCTTTCATTTTGTACAACTCCTTGGAGCTCCTTCCTGTCTGCTAGGTTGGATGCTGCCCGACGCATCAATTGTTGAGTAAAGCCAGTAAGTTCTCTAAAATGTACTCAGTTGAGTTTTGTTTTTTAACACTATATATGTGGGTTTTTTAATTTAAAATAAAAAAAAATTAATGTTTATTTCCTTTTAAGAGAGCGAGAGAGTACATGTGGAGGAGGGACAGAGACAGAGGGACACACAGAATCCGAAGCAGGCTACAGACTCTGAGCTGTCAGCACAGAGCCTGACGCGGGACTTGAACTCACGACTGACAAGATCATGACCTGAGCCAAAGTCGGACGCTCAACCGACTGAGCCACCCAGGTGCCTCTATGTGTGTTTTTTGGAACTCTGCTTTGAACTGGCTCCCTTATTAATGAATTCAATAAAATCTTTGATGTGTTTTCATTTTATATTTGTATGAGAGGCATGATTTTTACCTCTTAAGATCTATCTTTTCACATTAGGTACATAATATGTGTAGCAGTTTTCTAGACGCTGATGGCAGGGTGAAAATTCTGTCTCCACAATGGACTTTCTGGCTGGAATCAAATTGACATGAGACAGAGTAACAGGAGAAATCGAATTTAATAGTGCACATAATCGAATTTAATAGTGCACATTCGAGGAACCCACATAGACATGGAAATTCCAAAGACAGGCAGAATGAGGTATACATGTCATTCTGAACTAAAAAGAAGAGGGTAGAGACCGGGGACTTCAATGGGAAGCAATGCACCTCACAGGAAGATGAAAAAGAGTGTTTGGTAAACAAATGTTTGCTGGGCCATACAGAAACAATGGGACACAGAAGACTTTTTTTTTTTTAATTTTTTTAACATTTATTCATTTTTGAGAGACAGGGAGAGACAGAGCATGAGTGGGGAAGGGGCAGAGAGAGGAGGAGACACAGAATTCGAAGCAGGCTCCAGGCTCCCAGCTGTCAGCACAGAGCTGGTCGCGGGGCCTGAACTCACGAACTTCGAGATCATGGCCTGAGCCAAAGTCAGACACTCATCTGACTGAGCCACCCAGGCGCCCCCAGAAGACTTTGATCTAATAGGACTTGCTAGCTCATCTGTGTCTTCCACACCTAGTTCATATCGTACTATAGTTATCTATGGAGATAACTCTCTTCCCGGAGTAGGTTCTCGATCTAAATTATTTTTAGGCAGTTGGTGGTGGTGGTGGTGGGGGTGTGTGTGTAAAAGAGCTTTCCCTGAATCTGCTGGGTTTGATTGTTTTTTAATTCAAAATAATCTTCATGCCAAAGTGGCCCATCTTGGGGTGGCCTGCCCTCGGCTCCCTACATAAAGTGCTTTGTGTGTTTAACAAACACAGAACACATTTTCGAATGCCACATGCCGTATTAAGTGCTTTATAAATGTTAACTAATTCAATCCTCATAAGGGCCCTATATCACTTATGTGTCCCTTCAGCCCTTATCAGCCCGTCTTATCTAACTGAGGCTCATAATCCTGGTCAAGGTTGTATTATCACTAAGTACCAGGGCTGGGAGTCCAGGTGCAGACCTGTGTGAGACTGGAACACACTGGTCTTTGGCACTAGGGCTCCCTTTAAGTGAGCCCGAGGGGTGGGGGTGGGGGGGGGGTGGGTGTGTAAGGAAAGGATCCCAACTTTATTTTGTGGCAAGCTGTGAGAAATAAGCCCGCTGATCCAATCAAAGGGGGGTCGTGGAGACTCAGAGCACAGAGAAGCAAGGCTTTAACCAACGTTCTTGCAAGAGCTTGTGTGGCAGTGACAGCAGGCAATTTATCTCCTAGTGTGAAGTCCCTCCCCTGATTCCTCATTGGCTGAGTACTACAGAGATTACAGCCTTACCTGGAAGCTGCCTATGCCCATGTAAGCAAAAAGTACCTTCCTCGAGATAGAGACTTCAGTTCTCTGGTGCATGCTCATTGCAAAGCCCTGGAAAAATAAGCCTGGGAAATGGAGAGTGGAAGAAGAACCTGCAAGTGAAGTATCTAAGGGTTTGGGACTCCACTGTGTGCGTGTTGGGGGTTCGTACATAGTTCCAACAGGTTTACTGTTAACTATACAGCATGGCTTTTATCTGGTATTTCCGAAAATGAATCCTCTCACTTCTCACTGAAACTGCACCTTTTTAAAAAAATGTTTATTTATTTTTGAGAGAGAGACAGAGAGACAGAGAGAAAGAGCATCCGTGAGTGAGCAGGGGAGGGGCAGAGAGAGAGGGAGAGGGAGAGAGAGAATCCGAAGCAGTCTCCAAGCTGTCAGCACAGAGCCCGGAGTGGGGCTCGAACCCACTAACTGTGAGATCATGACTTAAGCAGAAGTCAGATGCTTAACTGACTGAGGTGCCCCTGAAGCTGCATCTTTAAGGAACAAAAGGGTTGTGTTGACAGCGGGGAGGGGCTATGAAAATGGGTTCTGCAGAGAAGCCTTCAGCCATGGAGGGACCGGCACTCTACCTGGGTGGCGTGGGGCATTGCTCTGACTGACGTGATGACCATTGTGCTGTGTTTCTGATAGAAGTCAGCTTAAAACTTGCCCCACTTCTTCTGCCAAGGGCCCTCTTCCTCCTCAGAAGGAGGAATTTAGTTTATTCTTTTTTTTTAATTTATGGTCACCATGCCCGTGGGAGAGTCAAGGTGATCGTGGGAGGCAGCATGATAACAGGAGGTAGGGCAACACTTGGAATCTGCTGGACTTGGGTACAAATCCAAGTTCTGTCCTTTATTGGGGAATAAGATTAGAATCCATTTAAATGAACATTACATCTCAGTGGGATTAAGTAAATGCTCCCATCTCTTTTCCTGCAGGCTGTGAACAAGATCTCAGCAAGGCCTGGGAGCTGGGCAAAGAGACTCAAGGGTCCAGAGTCTGGAAGGGTCCAGAGTTGGAAGAGGGGCAGGGGAAATTGTTTTCCAACTGGCTGAGAAGATGGGTCTGTCTGCAGGTGCAGCTGCTGGAGGGCTAGTCCCTCGGGCTGAGCCGCAGCCCCCACACTGCACGGGAGGAGACAGACTTAGAGCCAGCTCGGAGGCTGCTCCCCTGCCAGATAAAGATCTGTGACTGGCAGCTCCAGATCGACCGGCCTTCCTGATTCCTGTTCCAGGGCAAAGGTCACTCAGCCATTTGAATCGTCTTTTTTTTTTTCTTGCTCTCCAGCTTTGTTTGCCTTATAAGGAAGGTCAACATTACCAAGTCGAAAGTGCCTGTTATCTTCCCCTCGGTTTCAACAAATAGTTCCCTGAGCCAGAACAGTTGGTGTGAAAGATGGCTGGGCATTCAATCTTGCTGGCCGCTGTCTCAGTCTTGTCCGCCTGTCAACAAAGTAAGTCTCGGGCCGCGTGTGTGCGTGTGTGGCAGAGGGAGGGAGGTCCAGATTTTGAGTTTCATACTTACTTGCTGGTGCCCATGAGTGTGTGAGTGCCCGCTCCACTCTGGGTCATCAGCGCCGCCATCCCTGGGAACAGATTTGGAACATTCCAAGGATTAGTTCTCCCAAAGGGGACGTGGTAGGCTTTCTGAGCCCAGCGATTCTGCATTGTTTGTGGTTCCCACCCCCAGCCCAGTTCAAATGAGGGTAGAAGCCACTAGCTATTAATGTGGAATGTGCCAAAGGAAACATTGTACCTGCTTGTAAACCGTGGCTGCCATTTCTTAAACACTGATCTTTTAATTAGTGTTTTCTTAAATAAACTGCCTATGGCAGGTATGATAATCAGGTCTAAAAAAATCTGCAGAAACACGAGCTTCAGGTTAAGTGACGAATCTAACTTTTAAAGCACCGTCCCACTAGGATTATTCGATATCTCGACTGCCTGGTTATGTAAAGGGCATTTGCTCCACGGGGGCCACATTTGCTCGGTTCTTATCATCTTATCCATGATCACCAACTTCACATGCTAAATGGGGAAAAAAGTCTGGGCACGGGTGAGCAAGACTCGGAACCAACCATGCATACTTCTTTATTTTTCCAAGTGCGCTCCTACCAGGAAGGGGGCAGAGCTGAGGACTGCTCAGGGTGCATGGGATAAAGTCCAGGCCCGCATGCACACTTCATGTCTTGCCTAACCGGTCTGTTTTATGAGTTTATGAAACTGTTCTACCACAGGATACACATTTTGTGGTTGGATTCACAGTGTTTTCCGGAGTAGTGGAGTAGAGCAGGATTTTTATCGCCAACTAAAGCAACACTTAGGTCTCAAGTGCCCCTGTGCTGACCCCATGGTTCACATACCACTACACGTGAGCACTGCCGACCCCTGTGTGCCCTCATTCTGGTGCTGTGGGGACCCCGGGAACAGGTCCACAGATGCCCCAGACAGAGCCTCTGTCAGCCTCACAGAGAGGTTTCTGTTTGCTGGTGGGTGCAGGGCTCCGCGAGAACTGTGGCCAGAGGTTAGGTGGGGGTGGGGAGAGGAGAGGAGACTGGGACAGTGGTGGCTGGTGGTGTTAGAAAGCAGAATTGAACTGGGTAAAATGTCAAGATCTTATTGGTTTATGGGGTGCCTGGGTGGCTCTGTTGGTTAAGCCTTCGAGTTCGGCTCAGGTCATGATCTTGAGGTCCGTGAGTTCGAGCCTCGCGTCGGGTGGGGTGGTGACAGCTCAGAGCCTGGAGCCTGCTTGGGATTCTGTGTCTCCTTCTTTCTCTGACCCTCCCTCCCTCACATTCTGTCTCTCTGTCTCTGTCTCTCTCAAAAATCAATGAAGATTAAAAAAAATTTTGAAGATCTTATTGGCTTTATTCAATGAGTCCTGAATCAGGCAGCATCCCATCTAGCAGGTAGAAAGGCGCTCTGGAGAGCTGTGCAAAGTGAAAGACTTTTACAGGCAGAAGGGGGCAGAACAGGAAGTTGCTAGTTTGTGATTATTTGTGGCAAAGGTCGTCTCCTTTTAGGGAATGGCAAGAGTCTGTCAGGCAGATTGCCTCTGTGGTGCTAACCACGTAATTCCAGATTGGCTGGTTTAAGATTCCACTTTTGGGAGAGGTTGAAACCGTAATTAAGTGAGGTGTTATGTCTAGGATTGGTGATGTTAGCATAGATGACTCCATTTTGAGCCTGTTGTCTTTTTTTTTAACAGTGATAGACAGGGAACATTTACTGGTTGGGTGGGGGAGAGAGAAAGGGAGAAGCAAAGAAAGAAAGAAAGAAAGAAAGAAAGAAAAGGCATAACTGTTTGGTTGGCATTAAGAACCAGAATTTGCTGCTTCTACAGAAGTCTGGTGTTTATGTAGAGAGGGGCCCGCATACCATGGTAGAAGCAGGTTGAGTTTTGAAGACAGACAATCCCACATCTGTCCAGTTCAGACACTTAACAAGCTGGGTGCGCCTGGCCAGGATATTCTGTCCTTCAGTGTCCTCATCAAAGAAGGCTAAGCAGGGGTGCCTGGGTGGTTCAGTTAGTTGACTGTCTGACTTTGGCTCAGGTCATGGTCTCGTGGTTTGTGGGTTCAGGCCCCATGTTGGGCTTTGCACTGACAGCACAGAGTCTGCTTGGGATTCTGTGTCTCCCTCTCTCTCTGCTCCTCCCTTGCTAGTGCTTCCTCTCTCTAAACACACGCACACACACAAACAAACAAACAAACATTAAAAAAAGGAGGGTCGAACAGGACACTGGGTGAGAAGTGCCCACCAGCATCCTTGGCCTGGGGTTGGCACTCAGCATGACTAGTCCCCGTCATCGCTGCTTCCCCACAGAAGGAAGCTGCTGCTGGACTGAGAGGCAGCCACACGATGGGAAAGAAGGCTGGCTACGGCTGGGGAAGGGTAGGTGGCATGGTGGGACAGGAAGGGTTCTCGATTCACTCTCCCTGGCACGCATGTGCCCCTCTGGAGAAAGTGAAGGAGACAGGAAAGACAGGCCAAGCAAAGGGAGAGTATTCTCAAGTAGTTTTTTTTTTTTTTTAAACGTTTATTTATTTTTGAGAGAGAGAGAGAGAGGGAGAGAGAAAGACAGAGCATGAGCAGGGGAGGGGCAGAGAGAGAGAGACACAGAATCTGAAGCAGGCTCTGAGCTCCCTGCACAGAGCCAGACATGGGGTGTGAACTCATGAACCACGAGATCGTGACCTGAGCCAAAGTCAGATGCTTGACTGGCTGAGCCACCTAGGCACCCCTCAGGTAGTTTTAAAGTGATGTTAGGAGGGGAAAGAAAATTGACGCACTCCAGAAAAGGTAAAAGAGCCTTTCTGCCCTCATCCCGTTATCCCCGCGGTAGCCATGGTCTCTCTAAGGCCCCTGACCTGAAAGAACAGAGAGGGGCTTCTCCTCCTTGGGACTGTGTTGGCCCAACTGAATCCTTCTGCCTGCAGCTGTGGGTGGGCTGGTTGGGGAGCATCCAAACAGCTCTGCCCCCGACTGAAGCTCTTTCCTCACATTTGCTGCCTTTACAGACAGGTGCAACCAGGTGCTATGAATAGCCGTGAGGGAGACAGCCCTTCCTAAGCTTTCGCGTAGTCACAACTTCATCTCGAAGCTCTGGGTTCTTGCACCATCGCCAATGTGTAAATCAAGGAGTGCACATCTTTCATAGTTCCCTTCTTACAGATGGAAGCAAGAAGCCTTACCGAGTGTTTTCTCCAAGGCTGTGGAACAACTTAGAAACAGTGGGAGCAGCGGGGTGCAGATCGGCAAGGGCCTGCAGATTTTCTCGGCTGCAGTCAGATCTCCTTTCTGGCTCCAGGCGGACCCTTGAGTTATTGGCCCCTCTGGATTTATGCTGCCTTGAGAGGATTTAGCCCGGGGTTGGAAACAGTGCCCAGTCCCACATTTTCGGTCTCTTCACTGTGCTCTCTCAGGGTTCAGGGATGCCACTGCAGTTTGAATGAGAGACTCTAGTCCTAAGTATTTACACCCTTTTAGACATTCAGCTACAGCTTTTAGATCCTGAGCAACAGTTTACTCATAGCAGAGAGGAATTCAGGGGAAGGGAATAGTCCCGCTCTGTGAGGCCTTACTAACCCAGGCTCGCTATTTACTGACTTGTCAGAGGGGAGATCATATTGTTTCTCTGGAGGAAATGCATTGCACCTGATACTGTCACACAAGCTAAAAACTTGGTGTGGAAAAGGAAACTGGTATTGAAACATTAGCAAGTAGGAAAGGGACATGGAGGTATTAAAAGAAGTGAGACCAGAAGAGCGTTGGAGGGACCTGGAAAGGAACGGTGGCTGGAAGACATCATCCGGAGGGAACTAATAGGCCCCAGCGCTAATCATGGTGTAAAAGGAGGGCGAGAAGGACAGGAGGTGAGAATAACTGACCAAGGAGGAAGTGTGGGTCCAAAAGTGAATGAGGTTTATGGGATTGACCGTCAGATGTAAGTGACTCCAGCACAGGGTTGGATGATCTAACGCAACAGCTGTGGCCAATGAAGGACAACAAAGTCATGATCATTTTATAGTAGCGAAACTGAGTCACACAGGAAGCCATCATCCTCCAAAGTTTTCTTGTGACCCTCCCTCCTGGCTCTCATCATGTCCAGGCAGCCACTGATCCGTTTTAGGTCACTGCGGATTCATTTGCATTTTTGAGAATTTTATGTAAATGAAACTGTACAGTAATATTCTCTTCTGATCTTGCTGCTTTCATCCAACATAATTAGTGTGAAGTTCATCCATGTTGTTTCATGTATCAATAGTTAATTCTTTTTTTTTAAGTTTATTCATTCATTTTGAGAGACAGAGTAGGTGAGTGGGGGAAGGGCAGAGAGAGGGAAAGAGAATCCCAAGCAGGCTCTGCACTGTCAGCCCAGAGACCTACGTGGGTCTCAAACTCATAAACCGTGAGAGCATGACCTGAGCTGAAACCAAGAGTCAGACGCTTAACCGACTGAGCCACCCAGGTGCCCCAACAGTTCATTCCTTTTTACTGTCTTACAGTATTTCTCTTATATAGATATGGCACATATACCACAATTTGTTTATCCATTAGTTTGTTGATCAACATTTGTGTTAGGGTTCTCCAGAGAAGCAGAACCAATACAGCAGATGCACACACACAAACACACACACACACACTCACTCACTCACTCACACAGAGGCATTTATTTTTAAAAATTGATTCATGCCACTGCGGGGGCTGGAGGCTCTGAAATTTGCAGGGTGGGCTGGAAGGCTGGAAATTCCAGCAAGAGTTGTTGTTGCAGTATTGAGTCTCAAGGCAGTGTGGAGGCAGAATTCTTTTTTCTTTGGGTAATGTCCATCTGTTCCCTTCAGGCCTTCAACTGATTGGATTAGGCCCACCACATCAAGGAGTGGCTTTACTCAGAGTCTACTGATGTAAATGTTCATCATATTCCAAAAATATCTTCACAGAACCATCTAGATTGGTGTTTGACCAAGCAGCTGGGCACCATGGCCTAGGCTACTTGACACAAAATTAACCATCACAGAGTTGTTGCTAATTTTTGGCTATTATGAATAAAGATTCTATGAATATTTGTGTACAAGTCTTTGTATGGACATGTAACTAAATTTTTCTTGGCGAAATCACTAGGAGTGGAGTGACTGGCTATACAATCTACGTATGTCTAAGTAGAAAATCCCTTCCAAATGGTTTCCCAAAGTGATTATACCATTTTACATTCCTGCCAGAGTCTTTGAGAATTCTCATTGCTCTTATAGCCTCACCTGTGTTTTTTAATTGATATGGTCTGTCTTTTGAATTTTAAACATCTTAATACGTATGCAGTGGTATCTAATTATGGTTTGAAGTTGTGTTTTTCTAATGAATAGTGATGTGCCACATTTTAATTGTTAATTCCTCTATACTTGCAGGTTATTTTGCTTTGCATGTAGGAAAGGCAAGATTAAAATACAAAGTTACAGCCCCAGCAGTCTCTGGGTCACCAGAGTTTGAGAGAATATTTCGTGCACAGTAAGTAATGCTTCCTCCACCCTTCAGTGGTTACATATAGACGATTCTGATCAGGGGAAAGATGTGCAGAGAAGATATCTCATTGTAACAAACCAGTCTTTACAGCCATGCCCCTTCTCATGATGCTCAAAGCTTGAAGTATTTAGTACATGGAGCCTTTATCCACCTATGTTATGAATTCAGAGGATGCATTTACAGAAAAGGCAGGGATCTTAAGAATGACTGGTATACACCTTTAAGGATGGCAGTTTGGTTAAAGAGCCCCTCCAGTACCCTTAGAATTCAATAGCCTCAAGCTGGATTAGCTATGACATCCATCTTCTATCTTAATTTTTCCTTTCTCCTTGAAACAGAGGTGGGTCATTATCATCCTCTGCCCATGAACCATTTCCTGAAATCCAAAGCGTGTAAGAATGAGAAAGCTTCCCATTTCATACATACTTGTAGTGATTTTGATCATCTTGTCTTTTCAGATCTCTACAGAATGTTCTGCAGCAGCCACACCATGAGTTTGGTTGCTGCAGATGCTAGGGCTCCCTTTTTATTTCATCCCCCAGATAAGTGCTTTTAGAAACATTGCACATGTCACCATTTATATATCATTCTATTCTTTTGTTAACACTGTGGGATTTTTCATCTGTGTCATGAGTGACGTGGGCCTATAATTTGCCTTTCTTATATGATGTTTGTCCCATTTTGACATCAAGATTATACTAGTCTCATGCAATGAGTTAGAGAATTATTCTCTCAGAGAATTTTAATAAGATTGGAAGAGTGTGTTCCTTCCAAGTTCTTAGAATTTGCCTATAAAATGATCTGAACCTGGTGTTTGCCTTGTGGAAAAATGTTAAACTATGGAATTTTATTTCTTTAATGATAAGTGGGTTATTCAGCTTTTTGTACATCTTGAATCACTCTGGGCAAGTCATGATCCTTGAGCTGACAGCATTGTTCTCTTGTCCATCTCTTTGCTTCAACAAGGGTTGCACAGACTACTCTCTAGGCTTGAGCATTGGGATGAATACCACTGTTGGTAGAAGAGATAGTTTTTTGTTTTTTAATTTTTTTTAACGTTTATTTATTTTTGAGACAGAGAGAGACAGAGCATGAACAGGGGAGGGGCAGAGAGAGAGGGAGACACAGAATCCGAAACAGGCTCTAGGCTCTGAGCTGTCAGCACAGAGCCCGACGCGGGGCTCGAACCCACGGACCGTAAGATCATGACCTGAGCCGAAGTCAGACGCCCAACCGACCAAGCCACCCAGGCACCCCAGAAAAGATAGTTTTAAGAGATGCGTAGACATAGATATTTTTCAACAAAATTTTATTGTGGTAAGAACATGTAACATGAGCTATATACCTTCTTAAAAAATTTAAATGTATAAAACATTGCTGTTACTAGAGATACAGTGTTTTACAGCACATCTCCAGAGCTTGATCTCTTACTTGACTAAAACTCTATGCCCAAGATATGATTTTCAGTAACAGTGAACAACATGATGAGAAAGTCATGTCCATTTCAATTGTCTTTGAATCTTTATGATTATGTCAAGCGGAAAGTATTGGTTTGGTCCCAGTATGTCCCAATTCTAATATTTATTTTTGTCAGAGTAATGATGTATGTGGTCTGAAACTCAAGTGAGATTACATGCCCGAAAGCAACAGATAACTCTCCTTACTGCCAATCTAGCCTTAGAGACAACCATTGGCACCCTTGTGACTAGCACTTTTGACATTTACTTCCATATTTCTAAACACTATGCTTTCACTGCTATTTATTGATGCACAATTTTTAGACATTATCAATCAGCTTCCTTTTATGGAAGAAAGAATTTCTTTTCCTTACATCTGCCCTCCAGTACATCACTTTGTTGAGTTAAACCAATAGCCAATGTTTATATTATTCTAATTATAAGTAACGTTCAAAGCTGAGTCCAATAATATACTATGATTTCGTCTCCTTGTGAATTTTTTGTTTTACCTGGGATTACTGACTGCCTCATTGTTTATTTGTTTGCTTAGTTTCATCCTCAAATCTTTAACAGAACTGAAAAAGTCTCCCCTTAATACATTCAAATACATTAATCTAGTAATGCCATTTGTTTTGTTTTTTTTTTTTTTTTTGGATTATCTCTTTTAGAGTTTTTTTTTTTTTTTTTTTTTGAGTCCTCAATCTTTCTGCTCCCATCTGGAGGTTGCTCTTTAAACGTGCTACCTGCTGTCATTGTGGGGATTTTTGTCATCATCCTCAGGAATTTCCCTTATATTTTCTTGATTTGGATCGCCTGTTTCCTGGATCTTCTATTTTCCTATTTATTGGTTTTCTCTCATTTTGGTGGAACATACCTTGCAGACGTTTTCTGAGAGAGGGTGAATAGTTGGCCAAATTTTGAGACTTTCCACTTCTAAATATGCCTTTATTCTACCTTACAGTTGATTGATGGTTTGGTTAGGCATATATTTCTATGTTAAAAATCCTTACCGTCAGAATTTTGAAAATATTCCTCTTTTATTTTCTAATTTCCACTGATACTGTTGTGATGTTCTGTGCTATGCTGATTCTTGATTTTTTGTTTGGAAACTGTGCAAGCTTTAGGATCTTCCTAAATCCCAGTGTCCTAAGATGGTATGGTTCTGTGCTTGCTTGGAGGCATTTGTCTTCACTATGCTAAACCCTAGATGAGACTTTTTCATGGCTTGAAAACTCATGTCTTTCTGTTCTGGAATTTTCTAAAAATATTTTTACCCTGAATTTCCTCTTCATTTTCTCTGTTCTTTTATTCTTAAAATCTGCATTAGTTGTATGTTGATCCTCGGATTGGTCATCTAGTTTTCTTTTATCTTCAGTTTTTCATCTTCTTGGGTTTTTGTTCTTTCTGGGAAATTTCTTGAACTTCTGTTTACTGATCTTTTGTGTATTTTATGTATGTATGTATGTATGTATTTAAATCCAAGTTAGTTAACATACAGTGTAATAATAATTTCAGCAATAGAATTTAGTGATTCATCACTTACATATAACACCCAGTGCTCATCCCAACAAGTGTCCTCCTAAATGCCCCTCACCACTTAAGCCCTTCCCCACCCAATACCCTGCCAGCAGCCCTCAGTTTGTTCTCTGTATTTAAAAGTCTCATGGTTTGGTTCTCTCTGTTTTTGTATTATTTTTGCTTCTCTTCCCTTATGTTCATCTGTTTTGTATCTTAAATTCCTATGGTATTTGTGTTTCTCTGACTGACTTATTTTGCTTAGCATAATACACTCTAGTACCATCCACACTGTTGCAAATGGCCAGATTTCATTCTTTTTGATTGCCAAGTAATACTCCATTGTGTGTGTGTGTATATATATATATATATATATATATATATACACCACATCTTCTTTATCTATTCATCAATTGATGGACATTTGGGCTCTTTCCATACTCTGGCTATTGTCGATAGTGCTGCTATAAACATTGGGGGTGCGTGTGCCCCTTTGAAACAGCACACCTGTATCTCTGCACACTACTGGATAAATACCTAGTAGTGCAATTGCTGGGTCATAGGGTAGTTCTATTTTTAATTTTTTGAGGAACCTTCATACTGTTTTCCAGAGTGGCTGCACCAGCTCACATTCCCACTAGCAGTGCAAAAGGGTTCCCCTTTCTCCGCATCCTCGCCAACATCTGTTGTTGCCTGAGTTTGTTGGTGTTAGCCATTCTGACAGGTATGAGGTGGTATCTCATTGCGGTTTTGATCTGTATTTCCCTGATGATGAGTGATGTTGAGCATTTTTTCATGTGTCTGTTAACCATCTGAATGTCTTCTTTGGAGAAGTGTCTATTCATGTCTTTGCCCATTTCTTCATGGATTTTTGTCTTTTGGGTGTTGAGTTTAATAAGTTCTTTATAGGTTTTGGATAGTAACCCTTTATCTGATATGTCATTTACAAATATCTTCTCCCATTCCATTGGTTTGCCTTTTAGTTTTGCTGATTGTTTCCTGTGCAGAGGTTTTTTTTTGTTTTTTGTTTTTTGTTTTTTGTTTTTTTTTTAATCTTGATGAGCTCCCAATAGTTCATTTTTCCTTTTGTTTCTTTTGCCTCTGGAGACACGTCAAGTAAGAAGCTGCTGTGGCCAAGGTCTAAAAGGTTGTTGCCTGTTTTCTCCTCTAGGATTTTGATGGCTTCTTTTCATCCATTTTGAGTTTATTTTTGTGTATGGTGTAAGAAAGTGGTCTGGGTTCATTCTTCTGCAGGTCACTGTTCAGTTTCCCCAACACCATTTGCTGAAGAGACTGTCATTTTTCCACTGGATATTCTTTCCTGCTTTGTCAAAGATTAGTTGGCCATATGTTTGTGGGCAGATTTCTGGGTTCTCTGTTCCGTTCTATTGATCTATGTGTCTGTTTTTGTGCCAGTACCATACTGTCTTGATGATGACAGTTTTGTAATACAGCTTGAAGTCTGGGATTGTGATGCCTCCAACTTTGGTTTACTTTTTCAGGATTTCTTTGGCTATTTGGGGTCTTTTCTGGTTCCATATAAATTTTAGGATTATTTTTTCTAGCTCTGTGAAGAATGCTGGTGTTATTTTGATAGGGATTGCATTGAATATGTAGATTGCTTTGGGTAGTGTTGACATTTTAATAATACTTGTTCTTTCAATCCACGAGCATGGAATGCTTTCCTATTTTGTATGTGTGTGTCTTCTTCAATTTCTTTCATAAGCTTTCTCTGCTTTTCAGTATATAGATTTTTCACCTCTTTGGTTAGGTTTATTCCTAGGTATTTTATAGTTTTTGGTGCAATTGAAAATGAGATCAATTCCTTGATTTCTCTTTCTGCTGCTTCATTATTGGTGTATAGAAAGGCAACTGATTTCTGTACATTGGTTTTATATCCTGCGACTTTGCTGAACTCATATATCAGTTCTAGCAGTTTTTTGGTGGAGTCTTGGGTTTTCCACATACAGTATCATGTCATCTGGGAAGAGTGAAAGTTTGACTTCCTCCTTG